CGTGATTCATTTAATTTATACTTGGGCTAAGTGATTGACCAACTTGGAGCTTCTCGCGACTTTATATATACATTTGAAACCGTTAATTATTTCAGAGATACGCGAAATGATTAGTGAATTGGAAAATACGTATGTAAATACAGCAGATCAAGCAATGGAACATATTCATTCCAAGTAAGCGAATTGAATTAATTGAATTTATTTTAAATGAATATAGATATTTATTTATTTATTTATTTATTTATTTATCTATTTATATGCATATATATATATATATATATAGCGAGATCATTATGACAATAGGGAAATCTAGAACAGTTGAAGTATTTTTGAAAACAGCAGCTAAAAAAAGAAAATTTTCTGTTATTGTAGCAGAAACTTCGCCAACGTAAATAACTTTTCCAACTCTGAATATTTATATTTTGCAGGTAGTAGCTTCTTTTTAAAAAATAATTAATTAATTAATGGTAAATGATTGAATGAATGTTGTTGATTGATTTCGTCTAGTCCTAATTTAATTTGTTCTAATTGTAACATGAAAAAGTTCTTGCAAATGGTGGATTGATTTCTGTGAGTGGATCGCAAATGGTTGCCACAGCAGCAAAACATCATTCAACTCCAGTTGTAGTGTGTACCGGTTTGTACAAATTATCGCCTTTGTATCCGTATGATGAAGATTCATTTAATGATCTTGTGGCTCCGGATCCAATCTTGAGTTTTGAAGAAGGAGATTTAATTGATAAAGCTACATTTTTAAATCCTTATTATGATTATGTTTCACCTGGACTTGTTAGTATTTTCGTAACAAATACGTAAGTTTCTTTTTTTTCCCTTAATTTTAAATATATATAAATTATAAAATATTCATTAAAGCACTTTATCTTTATACACATAGTGGCGGACATCCTCCATCATATTTATATAGACTTATAAATGAAAATTACGACCCAGAAGATACTATCATATAATCCAATTTTCTTCATATAATAGCAACAGTACCAGTAGTAATGGATCGTTATTTCAAATATGTTCTGTTGTAGACTATTTATTTATGACATCTATAAAAGTATTTTTTAATAAATAATTTGCTAATATCAGGAAGACGATACTTTCTTTATTATTATTATGCACTGGAAATTATATAGTATAATTTCTCTGGAGTTTGTCGTCGAAAATTATGAAAATTAATGCAATAACAATAATCACCACTGTTACCATCATTTTTGATTTACAAACACCATATCAATCAATAATAATGTACATGTGAATATGAAAAATGGATATATAATTAGAAATATGTTGTCCATAGATATGATAAGAAGTTTAACTAACGATTCAACAAGCAACCTAATCATTTTTATATTATTTATTGATTTTTCCATTTCTTCACATATCGTTTTGTTGATTTTTCCATTTCTTCACATGTCGTTTTGCTGTTCTCTAATTTTTCCTTCAGTTCATCAACTATTTTATCCTGATCTTCAAAAGTTTTATTCGCTATCGATAATCTTTCTTTCAACTGACTCATTTCCAACTGAACTTCTTGTTTATCCATATTTATTGCTTTTGCCACCATCCTGACTACATTTAATTCATTATCTAATGTCTCCTTCCGTCGTTTTAATTTTCTAGCCTCTTCTTCTTGACTTTTATGAATTCTTTGTAATTCAACCAATTTATTATTATTGATTTCCAATTCATGTGTAACTGCTAAAAACTCTTCCTCATTGTTACTTCTAAGATCATCAATATTTTTGACTCTGATATGTTTTGTTGGTCGTGATTGTTCTGATGATGATGATGATGATGATGATGATGATGATAATAATTTACGCTTGTGATTCTTGTTTGGGATGGTGGTAATAACTGCCTTTTCTTTATTATTATTAAAATTTGCCCGTTTTGATGGTGGTTCTGGTAGTTTTGAAGTTGGTAGAGTTTTCTTTTTAAGAAGATGATTATTGTTATTATTATTATTCAAGGTTGGATTGGCTGCTGGACCAGCAAAAGAAGAACTATTAGCAGTCATAATGTTATTATTTGTTTTAGTATTAGCGGTATCAATGGTAGTTTTGGTAGCAATTACTGAAGATCTGGCAACATCATTGTCAATTGTTGTACTAGCGTTAGAATGATTAGGATTAGTGATGTTGGTGTGATTGAATCGTTGATTTGGTCTTGGAATACTACTAGTATTGGTGGTAGCTTGTCTACCGATTGCGGCATTAGTAGATGTACCACAGATATTTGAATTACCATTTAATGTAAGCATAATAATAATAATAATAATGGACACTCGTGACAAAATCGATTGTTGATCTTTTTTATGTTGTGAAACATGTGATTTCAATTGTTTAAAGGGGTATGTATACAAAAAAATTATTATTAGGATTTTTTTGCGCAGAAACGTTCTTTATGTTTGTCTTTACTAGTGGGTTAAATAATATCAAAAGATCATCTCTGGATCAAAGGTTAGATGAGGACTAAATTTCGAAATAAAGACTGATAATTTTCATTAAATTCAAGCCCTGATAACTTTTGAAGGAAACAATTTATAAGCTTCAAATTAAAAGATACATATTATTGAGTTCATTAAATAAGAATATGGAAGCCTTTTTTATTTTCACATCCATCACAAGCATGCCATTGGCATTAATAGATGACATATTATACAATGTGGTTGCTTGGTTTATTTCAAGCATCAAGAAATTTTGAAAGTGTTGATCTATGCTGATGAATGCATTAATCAACAACAGATCAATGATCATTGCGTAATTTAATTTATTAATAACATAAATAAAAGCACGTTGAATAACAATGTTGATTTACACTTTTAACTTAAATCATTAAACGCACGTTGAATAACAATATAAATAAAGTATTCTAAAATATAAAGTGAATTACATTTATCATAACGTTGAAACAACATGAATTAATTCAATAATAGATTTAATTAAATTCACCAATTAATTTTACTAAAGGATAAAAATCGATTTCATTTATCACGAGTGCAATGTCAAATGCGGAATAATTTACTTTTACATTGACCAACTGCATCATTGGTAAAGACATCTGCAGTAATTGGTTATTTGCGGCAATGGTAACTACCATTATAAAATATTTACGACTGCCGCAAACAAATACGGCAGTCGTAAATAGATGCGGTTTCCACAAACAGTAAGGCTGACGAAAATAGCTACAGCTGCCGCAAACAGATACGGCTGCCGTAAATAGCTACGGCTGCCGCAATTTTTATTTTTACACATATAATTTCATTGTAAATGAATGACCAACTGATTTAATTCATCAATTACAATTCAGTTACTGTAGATCTCAAATAATTCAAGAAAATTTTCGCAAGACTAATATGACTAATAATACTAATGACAGTAATTGAAAACTATTTGCGGTAGCCGTAATTATTACGGCAAATGGTAGCTACCAGTCCGATCCTTTATGGCAAGTGACTTTAATCATTGATATAAAATTTTAAACCAAGTATTTTAGTAAATATGCCTTTCTGATAGTGTTTCTATTTGAATAATAATGAAATGAATAATAATGAATGAATAATTCGAATAGAATTTATATTATGAATAGAAACTCTATTTTCCGAAACAAAGATCTCGATCTGTACAATAGTCATCAGTCTCTTCCTTGTTCGTATTAATTGCTATGTTTCTGCATGGTTACGAAATTCTGAGCGTCTTGAAAAGGTTCTTGTACAATCAATATCGTAAATGAATAAACTCATTAATTAAGGATACGGTCTCTCACGTGATCATTTATTATTATTAGTAAAAAAATAATATTAATATACAAAACTTGTGTGTTCACTCAGGTTCGTTAATGTCACGTTTATTGGTTAATCGTAGACGCGATAACTTCAAAATTTTACACCAGTTTTATAGAAAAGCTCAAAAATAGTTAAGATAATTTAAAAAATCTTTTTTTACAATTTTCCAAAAAGACCATTTTTTACAATTAAAAAAATCATGCCAAAAGTCTATTTTTTACAATTTAGGATAATGTCAAAAGTCTTTTTTACAATTCACGCCAAAAGTTTATTTTTTACAATTTAAATGATCTGTTAAGATAATGTCAAAAGTCTTTTTTTTTTTACAATTCGCCAAAAGACCATTTTTTACAATCCAAATAATCTTTTTGCAATTCACGCCAAAAGTCTATTTTTTACAATTTAAATGATAATGTCAAAAAATCTTTTTTTACAATTCGCCAAAAGACTATTTTTTACAATTCAAAAAATCTTTTTACAATTCACGCCAAAAGTCCATTTTTTAAAATTTATGTCAAAAACCTTTTTTGCAATTTGCCAAAGGTCCATTTTTTTTATACAATTCAAAAAAAACCATTTGCAATTCTCCAAAAGACCATCTGTTAATATTAAATAATTAAATTTATTTGAGGTCAAGCCCACTTCACCATATCGGGATATTTTAATATCCGTTTTGTCATTTTCATTTACCTTTCTTCATTCCCATTGGTCAATTAGTGATTGGCAAAACAAAAATAATCGCCAACATTAAATATGGACAATGACTAGATAGTATCTCATAGACTGTTTTCATATTAGGAAGTAATACCCTTAAAGAAAATTTTATATGTATATAGTGAAAATTTTCAAAGAAAATTAGTTTTGACAATAATATTTTGTGCTACATCTATTTTGGAACCGGTTCCATGGAACCAGAACCGAACCGCCCCATCCCATATTAATGATTCTGTCTGTAAATCAGATTTATGGATGTTGTAGCAACCACCAAACTTTTATATTGAAAAAAAATTTTAATTTTTATATTTGTGATGTAAAATTGTGTTTTGGAAATTGTATTGGCACTTATTTGGTTACCTGAATATCCATTAACATTGTTTGTTGTTGCTCTGCACTATTGCAGAAACAGCAGGAGGCATAATATTATCATTTATTTATATAGTGGTTAAAAAAATAATGTAATACCTTAATAATACATGTTTGTTTTTAAGAAAATAAAAATGCAAAATTAAATCACTTTTGTGTTAATAGTTATTTCTTCTTAACATATATATCAAATGTTGGTGGGTTTGGTGTAGGAGTGACTGATGTGGCAGGTATGATTAATCTAAAGGAACTTTTAGGATCTAAAATTTGTCCAACTATGGTTGGAGATATTTTAATTAAAAACTATATATCTGATGCTATTAAAATTGACACTTGGATATGTCAGTGGTTCACTATATGTATTGTATTGAAATGGCAACAACTCATTAAAAATTTTACTTTGATAGTCATAGTATAATTATTATGTTTGTTTGGGATCAAAGTTTAAATAGTCAAGTTTGCTCTTTTCCACATTATGATGTTTCAGATTAAGTATTTAGTAAAAATATCATCTAAATTGATAAAGGTCTAAAAATTAGCAAATAATAATTATTATTGTTATTAAGTTACTTTAATATCCTTTTATCCTTTTATCCTTTTATGCTTGTTTGCGAGTCTTTGTTGACATCTAAAAAAGTGGCATTTTAAGAGGTTTACTATCGTTTTTGAAACTTTAAAGAAGAATATTTCAAGCCAAAATGTTCTATGTGAGGAGTTATATATAGCAATGGTGTTAACTCAAAATTACTTTTTTCACAACATGGTCCGTTTCTATATCATTGTAAAATTTAGAAATTTTTAATTTTTAATATTAATGAATTTCTAAGTTTGTGCGAAAGTCCGACAAGTAATTCGGAAACAGAACAATGCATAATGCCACATAATAGTTTCGAATTGATCAAGCAGCATGATCATTACATAATTAATATGATATATATATATTAAAATAATACATTCATTTTATTTTTAGGTAAAAAAGCAAAGAATCTTGCCTTTTTTGTGATCATTCTATTGAAATGTTTTTTGTGAGCGGAAATTATTTCGTCAAAACGAAATACGACGAAAGACGAAAAGACGAAAAATATGACA